GGCCACATGGCTGTGTTTCCTTGCTGTCTCCTCTTTCCAAACAACAGTACTTAGAGGCCTTGAAGGTGGATGCTACCCAATCCCCAAAGGAGATATCTGAAAACTGATCACACCAGAAACATGAATGAGAGCATGCAATTCCTTCCTGTGTGACTGGCACAATGCACAGAAGCTAAGAGAAGAGACTGACTCAAAACACCCTGAAGAGCACCTCTACTTCACACATAAGCAGAACTATAAAGATCAACTAAATTGACAAGGTAAATTGATGAGGGGAAGGAACGAAGCAGACACTTCAGGCACTTTCAGTCCCCATACTGAAATGCCAGTAACAGGGCAGGTTTTTCCTACTAAATACTAGCAGACACTGAAACACCAAATACAGTTCATGTTTTTCAGGGGAGGGGAAGCAGCAGAAACATCTAAGGTTACAAGTTAAGATAGGCCACTCCTCTATTGATGGTATGTTAACAGCAGAAAAACCAACCTGGAACATGTTGACATCGAGCGCTCTCACTGGTCCCGTGTGCTTGTCTTTCTGGGCTATTATTACCTCAGCCTCTCCATCTATGATTTTGGCTGAGTCATACAGAATGATATTTCCATTTTCACCCCCAGCAATCAGGACTCCAGACACTCTGTCCCCTGAGGTCATGCTGTGAGGGCCCCAGATCAGCTTGTGGTACCTGTAAGACACAGAGGGCCCCACAGTCTTGAACCATCCACCTGTAGGTTGATACATCCCATTTTTGCTCACCCCAGCTAAAGTCAGAGAAAAGCATTGCCTGCATTTCTCCCTAAGGATGAGTCTCTGCACAACTCCTTCCATCAGGAAGGCATGTCCCAATTCTGCTCATTAACAAGAGGCACAACATGCACAACCAACAACCTGCAAACTGGTAACATCTCCAATCTCCTGGCTGCAAAACCAGGTAAGTGCTCCCAACCACAACAGAAGTAATCAAACTAAGGGCTGTAAGCCCATCCAGTCACAGCCTGGAAAAAAACCTCTGCTATCTGTGAGCAGCTCCATACAGGAGAAGAAAGAGGTGAGACTAGAAAAATTCCACATATTTTTCCATATCTGTGCTTGTGGATGTGCAAGTGTTTTGACTGCTGTACCAGAGACTCAGCAAGTTTAGTCAACATCACAGAAACATCATGGCCCACTTTCAGGCTAACTCCAGAGGAATCAATCATACTTCCAGAAATTAAGAACACTATTGTGTCCATCTGTAAATACCCAAATTCCCTTCAACTCAATTAACTTCCTGCATAAGCAAAACAGCATTCCTGTGCACTTAGCCATGCAAAGAATTAATATGTTCTACATAAAATGACACAGCCACCTATCAGCTCTTATGCAAGCAGAAATCAAACCCACATTGGCTGGAGGGTGGCACAGAGGTATTTTAGCACTCACTGTAATATTGCTTTGTTACCGCCAGAAAATCTTCAAGTAATTTCTTTAGATCGCAGCAACTTTAGCATTGTAAGATAGATATTACAGAAAGCTGCCCAAAGAGCATATGCTGGGTGATAAATACCGTAACAGCCAAGTGTTCAGGCTGCCAGTGCTGAGATTACAGCAGGGGTTCACCAAAGAATGAAGGTACAAATGGAAATCGGTCTGTGATGTCAAACAGACCCATTCCTGGGTATGGTTTTTATGCTTCTGCACCTAACTATGCAAGTTTATGAGAAATGAAATGACTGACAGGGTTGTCCAAGCATCACCAGCAAGACTGAACAGGACTTAAAACAACCCAAAATGAAGGCAGGAAACAGTGAGGAACAAAACCCAGCAATTAGCTGTGTAATTACTTTTCTCTTGCCCTTTACTCTTTCCAAGATAAAGTATGGTTCTATAAAAGCAGCACAAAACTTTCCTTGGAGAGCAATTAAGGATTTATCTTTTGTGGTTCTAATCACCTGAACTTTTTCATTTGCTGCAAACCAAAATACAGCCTGACATATATACTGCTATCTAATCTTTAATTAAAAAAAAACAACCAACCCTCAACCTCCTTTTTAAAGCATTTTCTGGGGCAAAGTCAAATTCCTGTGTTGCTGGTCAAGGGAGATATATTCCAAGGAGTGCTGCATCCTGGCTATAAGGAGTGCTTGTAGAAATTCAGTAAGCAAATGGCAAGTCTTGAAGAATCTCAGTCCCAGTTAATACAAGGTAAAACAATGAAACCCAGAGATCCAACACTGCCTCCTGCCTGCTCTAAGCAGGTCAGTAGGACATGTTGACATTAGCTCTGCTCAGAGAGCAGGGCATTTAAAAAGGGGTTGTGACTCTTTCAGCTCTGCCAGAGAGCTGCTGCAGTAGAAACTGGATGCTCTGATGCTAACAATATTTGTCTGGAGAAGCACTTGGCAAGGAACTAACAGCTAACTGGAGCTGTGCAGCCAGAACCTTGGCTTTCCAGCTGTAGAAACACACACAACGTAACCCAAGTTAGTTATCTTACAGGAGTCCCCCTGAAATGCTTAAATACAAACAGGATGGTGCAATATGAAAAGTTACCACCTTATTTTCACAGTTTCACATTTTATTCTCCTCTCTTGTGAATCCCAGAGACTTCCTGGGATAAAAGGTTCACACATATATTCAAAAATGTTCTGTTTATGTCAAAGCATGAACACTTGCTTGGAGTCCAAGCTCACTGACCCACAATATCAATTGCACACACTTGCCTTCATCTTTCTGTGCTGAGCTTCTGCTTCTCTCCTTAACAAGTCCAGGCAAACCACAGGAAGCAACATTTCCAACATACCACATGTAACAGTTTGAGACACTGTACTTTTCTCTTACAACACTGCCTACCTGTTTGAGGAGGAGAACGTGGCACAGCTCTTCATATCCAGTGAAGGATCTGCTAAGTCTAACTCAAATATTTCTAGAGAAGCACTTGTACTGAAGGTTGCATCCAGCTGCTGAGCTGATGTACCTGTGAGGAAGCATGTCTGGCAGTGAGAAAGCCACGATACACAGCAGTAACTGCAAATGCAGCACAAGAAGGGGAACAAAAATATCCTTCTTTCAAAAAGGATCCTGAGATGGGGGTCAAGACTTCTGTTTGTTAGCTATAGTCCCACACAAGTCTCCTCCCCATGGTTTTCCCTTTGGGTGCTTCTTAACAATTACAAGCATGAAAAGCTTTGCGCAAGTACCTCTCCCTGATGATGCACAGAACACAAACAAAGTTAAAAACAAGCCACAAGTGGTGGTGGACCAGTGGTTAGGACTGGTGTCACCTTTCCCTGGCAAAAGGAAGAGGATGCTTGCTTGTCACTTGTAGAATGCAAAGCATGTTTTCATCAGCACAATGCAAAAGCTCCACTCCAAGCCCCACAACGTATACTCCACTCCAGCCCTCGGGACACAGAGTAACTCCTACAGCTCTCAATAATGGCCCCTCCACGGCAGCCACCGCACACAGCCCGAGGTCTGCTAACACGTGCTTCCCAAAAAACTCACCTGTGGCCAGGTAAATGGGGTGCTGCTGGGCAGGGCTCCATGCCTGCATGGCAGTACGGTCTATTTCCTTCAGCTTCATTTTGCTGAAAAGCAAGACCAAGAAAGGTGATGCTTAAATGGTGCATGGTGAGGCTGCACCGCCACGGATTCAGGAGCCGCATTAGGACTTGGCAGAAGCAGCCCGAGGGACTGTTTTCCTAAAGATATCCTACAGACAGACAGCCAAGCCATCCTCTCCAGAGGACACCCAGGGGGAGGGGAGGAATAACTCTCCATTGGCAGAGTAACATCGACACGCAGAGGAAACTGACGGGCGCTGAACATAACACAGGAAAACGTGGGCAAAGCTTCAACAGCCGTGAAAAACCCTCTCCTCACAGCACCAAAGCCTCGAGCACCCTACAGCAGCTTTCTGCCTCAACCCACGAAACAAACCCAGCCGCAAGAAGACCCTCCCCAGACCCTGCCACCAAATACCCTCAGCGGCTCATTTCTGGCTCCTATTTCAGTCCCTAGGGCTCCCCCGCCTCGGGTGCACCCCGCGCGGCCAGCGGGACCGCCACCCTCGCCCCGTTTCCGACGGGAACCGGAGGAGAACAGCTGTAAAACAGAGCATTTCGCCGTCCCTGCCCTCACCTCGGCGTCCCCGGCGCTCACCCGTCCCCGGACCGCTCCAACGTGGCAGCCCCGGCACCGCCTCCCGGCCGCCACCGCCTTCCGGGCGCGCCCCGCGGCTTCCGGGCGGCGGCGGCGGGGGGAGTGTGTGTGTGGGGGGGGATGTGTGTGTGGGGATGTGTAGCCACCTCTTCCGCGCGTGTCCTCCGTGTCCCTCGGGGCGGGAGCAGCCATCGGCCCTGGGGAAGAGGGAGACTGGTTAGGGGCGCCGGGACCGGGGGGAGCCGGGGCGCAGTGCCGGCAGCGCGGGGGGCGGCGGTGCCGCCTGTCCTCAGCTCAAGGGCAGTAATCATGGCGTGCTCATGATGTGAACAGCAGTGAGGCTCATCACGGGACAGGGGCCACCGCAAGGCGGGGGAACAGCACGAGGGAGCTCAGCCGGCTTCCACAGCCGGGGGCGGCAGCCCCGGACCCACCTCCTCACGGCAGCCGGGCCACAGCTCCGCTGCTGCCGCCTCCCGCCGCCGCTGGGCTCCGCGGCCGCTCGGCGGGCAGACGCCGTGCGCGGGACGGGCGCTGCCCGGACCGCATGGCGCGGCACAGCGGGAGAGGCGGCGGCCGCCGCCGGCCCCGCTATAAATGGGGGCTGGAGGCGCGGCTCCCATTGGCGCTGAGGATCGCCCCTCGCCACTGGCTGGCCCGCCGCCGCCGCCGCTCCCGGTTGGCTCGGCCCGCTCCCGGTCCCGCCGCCACCGCCGCGGTGACGCCGCCGCGCCGCCGCGCCCAATAGGGCCGCGGTCCGCCGGGCCCGCCGGCCAATGGCGAGGCGGCGCCCAATGGGCGGGCCCGGCGTGGCGCGCGCGGCGGGCGCGGCGGCGGCGGCGCGCGCGGGGCCGCCATGACGCGGAGCTGCTCCGCACTGGGCTGCACCGCGCGCGACACCGGGCGGAGCCGCGAGCGCGGCATCTCCTTCCACCAGTGAGTGCGCCCGGCCCGCGCCGCCGTCCCTGCCTTCATCCCGCCGTCCCTGCCTTCATCCCGCCGCCTCCCTCTGCCGCAGGTTCCCGGTGGACGCCGCGCAGCGCCGCGAGTGGATCCGCGCCGTAAACCGCGTGGACCCGCGGAGCCGCCGGGCGTGGCGGCCCGGCCCCGGCGCCATCCTCTGCTCCCGACACTTCGCCGAAGGGGACTTCGAGCGCTACGGGCTGCGGCGGAAGCTGCGGCGGGGGGCCGTGCCCTCCCGCTTCCTCCCCTCGGTGCGGGCGGGTACCGGGCGCGCCCCCCGCTCCCCTCCGGGGGTGCCGCCGTGTGCCGTGACCTCCCCTTTCCTTTCCCCGCCAGGAGCCGCCGGGCGCCGGCCGCAGGCGGAGCAGGACCCCCGGCCGAGCGCTGAAGCAGGCGCTGCCCAGCCCGCCTGCCGGGGACCACAACTACAGCCTGCAGGGACAGCGGGCGGCCGAGCCGCGGCCGCCGCCGGCCGCCCCGCGGCAGCAGCAGCAGCAGCCGCCGGGCGCCGGGAGATGCGGCCCCGCGCACCGGCGCAGGACCGTGCCGAGCATCCTCAGGGAGCTGGCGGAGAAGCGGCAGCTCTCTGAGGAAATCGTGAGTTTGCTGCAGGCGCAGTTTTCAGGTACTGCCGGGGACGCTTGCTGAGGCAGAGTTCGCTCTCTCGCTCCGGTTTCATGTCTTTGCTTAACCCGTGCCAAGGAAGAGGTGAGGCACAGTGGTATCATTGCTGAGCCCTACACTTCGCGCCAGACTTCAGGACTGAGTTGTTCCAGAGGCCACGCTGTTGCCTTGTATTCTGCAGTGCATTTGTGTCATGCATCCCTCTGTTTCCAGCCATTTATTTGTTTCACTAAAGTTGACCTTTTGTGATTTCTTGAGCAGATTTGCCTCGAGAGTTGCACAGCTGGAGGCAGATGGCAGACTACTCTTCAGAAATGAGGCAATTTGCTTGTCTTCTCCATCTCTACCATATTAAGGCCTATGATTACCTACGGAAGATTCTTCCCCTCCCTCATCCTTACAGCCTGACAAAGCAAGTTTTTATTTATTCATTCATTCAGAATGTATTTCCAGGTACTCATGTAGAAATAGGTGTAACAGATCTTCCTGAAACTGCTTTGTTACTTCCCTGCATGGTCAGTACTTTCCTTGGCTTCCCACCACTAGGGCGGGAGAAAAGAAACTCGGACTAGGCATGAAGGATTGCAGGGCTGCCTTCTTTGCCTTACATGCCTCAGCCTGCTCTGCAGCTCTGGGCATGGCTGACCATGTCCTGAATGGTAAAAAGTGTTGCCTGTTGCTTCAGCTTTTCCAGAATCACGTCTCTTACTCACGTCTCACATCCTCGTTTTTTGGTTGTTTTTTTTTTCCAGTTGGCTGTCTAATAACGAGGCTGCTGCAGGCTTCAGCAGTGACATTTTTATCCGGCTTCAGGAAAAGGTGGAGAGAGGAGATCAGGCCTACCGCTATTGCGCCGTGCTGGTACAGGACGTGTCCCTGCAGAAGCAGCAGGAGTGGGACCCACAGACCAAGAGGCTGACGGGCTTTGTTGACTTGGGAGCAGGCATCCTTGATGCTGACGAAGCACCACTGGCATCAGAAGCGATAATTCTCATGGCAGTTGGCATCTCGAGCCCTTGGACAGCTCCCCTTGGCTATTTCTTGGTGAACAGCACATCTGGCCACTTCCTGGCTCAGCTCCTTCGTCAGGCCATCAATAAGCTGAACAACATTGGGATCGTGGCCCTAGCTGTGACATCGGGTGCCTCCGCTCGTGGTGCTGAGACTGCCAGAGCTTTGGGGATCAGGATAGATCCCAAAAGGATTCAGTGCACTTTCCAGCATCCACCCGGTTCTGCTCGTAGCATCGCATACTTCTTTGACGTTTGTCATGCCCTCCTGCTGATAAGGAATGCTCTGCAGTGCTTCCAGAAGGTAGAGTGGCTCGGTGACACCGTGTGGTGGCAGCAGGTGGTGGAGCTGGCAGCTTTGCCGGAGCAGAGGGTGTTGGAGCTGTGCAGTCCTGAGTCGGGCAGGGCTGGGAGTAAAGGGAGTTACCACCTGAAGGTCAACCTTGCTACCCTGCTGTTCAGCGAGGGTGTTGCTGAGGCACTGGAGCACCTCCAGAAGCTGGGCCTGGCCTCGTTTCAGAACTGCAGCGGGACTGTCAAGTTTGTGCGCCTGATGAGCTCTCTGTGCGATGTATTTTATGGAAGAGGTCCCTATGGAAAGGAGTCTTTGTTAGCTGGAAATTACACCAAAATAAGCAACCTCTTTGATGAGGCCAAGAGCTGCTTTGTCAACTTAACAGATGCTGTGGGGAGATACGTTATTAAGAGCAAACGCAAACTGGGATTTCTGAGCTTCTTGCTCAGTGCTGAAAGCCTCAAGTGGCTTTCCTCCAACTACACATGTCCAGAAGGGACTCCTTCCCACCACCTCCATACACATGCCTTTAGCCTGGAACTGCTGGAGCAGTTTCTCAGGGCCCTCCAGGAAGCCTGTGGCAACAGTGGTAGCCCTACCACCTGTGCTGTGTTCCAGGCTGCTTACCACAAGCTGCTGGCCAGCTGCAGCCTGGCACCTGTCTCACCACACAGCAGTGGCAGTTCCAGCCCCTGGGATGTATCCCTGTCTCAGAGGAGAGCTCTGACTCTGGGCAGCATTCGTGCTCAGTATCACCCAGCTCCTGGGAGGACTCTGACCCCAGAGTACCCCTACAGTGCAGGCCTGCTTCTGCCCAGCTCTGCCCTGAGCAACGCGCTGACAGATCTGTCGCTGTACACACAGAGCCTCACCTGCACTGCTGGCTGTGTGGCTGAGCAGTTGGCCTTGGACTTGCAATGTGAGGCTTGTCTTGCCTCTCTGTTTGAGGCAGATGAGAGCAGGCTAAGATGCAGGTCAGTGCTCTACATAAAAAAGTTAGGTGATGTGAGTCTGCCCTCGGCCTGTGTGCACCACATAACAAGCATTTCAGAACAAGTCCTAAACCAATATGTCAAAGTAGGAGGTGCCAGCAAAAATACCAAGCTGTGGCACTTGTCTCTAGAACAGAAAGTCTTCCAGGAGCTTCTGGGAGAAGCTCCCCTCTTTCCCACCCTCACAAACCATTTATTTGAGGGGCAGCTGAGCATCAACAACCACTACACAATCTTAGTAAAGGAAATAACACGGTGTTACTTAAACATAAGAACAAACCCTGCCCAACACCTAAATTTGAAATACCCTTGCAAAAGGCACAAATTGAAGAGACTGAAGGGAAAGCATTTGTTTCCATCACCACTGGGTAGCTGTCAGTCAAGCCAAACCCACACATGGTCTAACTGAGTGGTTCCAAGGATGGCTGTTCCTTGCTGAGATCTAGGCAACACGTGAGGAAACAATGCTGGCAAAACTAGCCTTGATAAGTAGTGATGTTTTGGGCCACTGCAAGTCCCCTAACCAGAGCTTAACTAAGGAAGGAACTATCCCATCCCCTGTTCCTTCTAGCAATCCAGCAAAGCAGCCATGTATTTCATGAAACTTGCGTGGCAGCTCAGGATGAGCAAGGGTTGCTTGAGGTGCCTGGGGCAGTGGTAGGAGAGTCTGCAGTGTCCCTGGAAGTGCTGGGTGGCTTTAGCACTGTGAGTGCTCTTGGAAGAAGGAAACTGATAGGTGATGGGGTTGCAGGGGAATCACATGCACTGGCACTTTGATTTCACCAAAAAGGTGTGCTTTATAAAAGCTGGGAGCGAGAAAGCTTGCAGAGCTTCTACTTAAGTAGGAAAATAAAGATGTGAAAAGAACATGTCAACTTTCCAACATGTCTCATCAAACAGCTAAAGATGCTGGTCAAGTCTAGATCATCTGGATCAGTGCTGAGTCTGTGATCAGATCGTTGTGTCCAGTGGCATCTAGGAGCACCAGTACTGTCCAGGGGCAGGAATACATGGGTGTGCTGCAGCAGGGCAAGCATTTGAGTTCCTATTTCACGGCCCCAACCTCCCAGGGCTGGCCTGTGTCCTGCAGCCCAGCGCACATGGCACCCACCTTTCAGTGTTCCCACTGCTGACTTGAACCATAGCTCTGATGCCATCAAGTAGGACAGGCTTCTTCAGTTAATTCATTTTCAGGACAAGGAAGCTGCCTCCAGTGCTTTGCCTGGAATAGCAAAGGTGGAACTGCTGCTAAGGGGTTTCCCTTTGCCATGCAGGACAGGAGTTGCATGCATAGAAATGGAAGGCAACTAATTCCCACAAAACCTTCTGTACAGTCACTTTCAAGATCCATGATGTCCAAAAATGGCGATCTGCTACATCCTAGGGCAGTAATAATATTAAAGGTACCATTTTGCCTACCAGTCACTTGACAAAACTGTCCCTGGTTGGTTTGGATTTCTCCTCCTTCCCTTAGTTCTGCACACAAGCTCCTCTGAGAGCAGCAGCACCATGGAAATTCATAGAATCACTGCTGGGAGGAACAAACTAAATCCTCTGGGCTTCTTTTTCCCCAATCCAAATATCTATGCAAAAAAACATGTTGAAGCCATCACTGTTACAGAGCCATTCCAGCTACATGAGACTTTGCAGGAATCTATTCCCTCCCCTCTATATGTGATTTTCGGAAAAACTGGCAAAATGCTGTTGAAATCCCAGTGACAGACTGGTTGCAATCATGTAATGTTGAACACTTGTATTACCTCCACGTCCAGCTCTAAGATGAGTTGTTACAAACTGTGCCATGGACTGCTGTGCATGACAGCACACCAATAGCCAAGGGATATTTACTTATCACTGGTAGCATTTGGTCTCACTGAAAATCCAAGTCAGTACTTCCATCAGAAGTGGACCTAGTGTTAACAATTTATTTTGATATTTCAGTGGCAAACCTTCTGTGTATATTTGTCAGTGCTGAAGCAAAGGAATGCAAAAAAAATCGTATTTACAGAATAGTATAAATGTTTATTTTTTGTGATTTATCTGACTGTTTTATTTGTACAATATAGAAAAGTGTATTCTTTGAATAGGTCTTGTAAATATAAATTTAATTTTCTACTTTTGGATGTAAACAGAACTATAAAATGAACCCTTGCCCCGTTCCCAATTATTTTTACGTAACTGGATGAACCTGACTGTTAATCTTGTCCAGCAGTTTGATGCAAATGGCTAAGGAAGTACATAAACCAATTAATACACTCTACACCAGGGAGAAGGGAGAGAGGAATCCAAGCTTAATATTTGAGAAAGCTTGTTCAAAACAAAATAGAAGAACTAAGAGCATTTGATTGCACCTTCAAATCTTTACAAGCAAAATATTCTCCAGCAATGCCATCATACATAATTACAACTGTAATCTAAATTTCACAAGTGCTTTTGCACACTGTATATAAATACACATCACAAAAGGTGCAATTTAGAGTAAGACACTGAATATATACAAAATAAACACAGATTGAAGTCTAAACAAAAGGCATATTGCAATCTGTTTGAAAAATAACGTAAGTAGGTATTACTTTATTCACTTACACTAATTTACATTTATACAAATCTTACTGGACTATATTAGGTCACTAGAAGGGAACGGAATATCCGTACTATCTACAGGTAAAGTTACTGCACTGATTTTTTTAGTAAATCCAAGTCCTAATCATGAAAAAACATGGCATGTACTTACACGAGAGGTGGATTCCCTTTTCAGAGATTTGCACAAACATTGCTATTTATGCTCAGGGAGATGTCCTTAGCAGACAGAGCCCTTCAGACAGTGACTGGCAGGTCACACCTGGTCTGTGAGCCCACCACTGCTGCTGGCTGCCTCCCAGGCATTTCAAGGAGGCACCAGAGAAGGGTCAAGGGCCTTCTGCTCAGTGCACAGGGCTGGGAGTGAAGCATCCTCCCACCCTATTGCCTTGACACACACACAGGCACATATCTCTGCTGCTGGTGTGCTTAGCCCCTACCTCTCCCCAGCTGGCCCTGCTAGGAAACGTGGAGAAAGAGCTCTGCTGCATTTCTCTGTATTTACAGTCTTATAGAAGGAATACAAAATCCCTTTTGGAAAAAACATAGCTAGTTCAGGCTGCAGTGAGACAGGTAATAAAAATGCCTGTGATTAAACATGATTAATGGATATTCATGATAGGTAAGTAAACTACCAGGTTAATTCGGCAAACGTGTTCCACTATCAAAAATGTGATCTGAGATTGCCTGTAACAAATGCTGAAAAAAACCCCCTGTCTTAGTCTATACTCAGCTATAGCTGATTGACCCCCCCATTTAGTGTAAAAGGATCTGTGTCTGTTTTCGTAGCAATCCTGATTCTGTGCTAGTACTTCCTCTGATCACAGCTCTCACAATTATTCTAAATGACACTAAAAGAGCCCTTATGCCAAATAAATTGCCAACATGGAGAGAAGCAGCATCCTGAATACCCACAGCCAGCCTGAACATGATCCCTACCTACATTTGCAAGTCAATTCAGATGCAGATTGTACATCCCTCCCATGACTTCAGCTTCTCAGGCCTAAACACTTTTCCAGGGTTACAGCTCGATCCTAGAAAACACAACAGACTGCACAGCCCTACCTCCAGTGAGGGATTAGGCTGCTGCAGACCTCTGAAAAACCAAGCTTCACCTAAACATCAGCATCAATCTGCTACACACTTAGGTAACACTACACTGGGCAGACAGTTCAGCATTGTGGTGTGGCTGCTTTTCCTCACTTTCAAGTCTTAGCCTTCAAGTTCCAGCTTAAGAAACACCTGAGCACTCTGCCCCATTCCTATCAAAAATTCCCCATAATGCCATTCACCTCTATACTCCTTGGGCCCTGCTCTAGAAACATTCTCCATGACTTTCTCAGTGCTAAATCTGCAAGCAACCCCTCTGTATTATTGCCTATGTATCTCACAGTGCTCCGTGCACTAAAGGGAACATGCTGTGTCAGGTCCTAAATACAAGTACTACCTTCCATTTAGATGCCTATTTCTATGTATTTCCTTTCAGAATTATCTTGGACACGCTCCATATTACAGGCCTGTCAGCAAAAGCATGACCTAACTGTTGACATCACCTGTGTTTTTCTGTATGCACAGTGATGCAAATCCATACACTGTAAATAATATATATTATAATAATTTATATATGCCCTTCAGACAATTATTCTGGGGGAAAGGGGAAAACACATCTAATTTTTAAGAAACCCAGGGTAAAAGCTGTACATTGGGAAGAACTGACCTTTAGGCATTGTCTTACGTAGAAGAGGATTTAGCTAAGATTTAAAAAGCTCTACATCTTGTTATAAAAGAATTTCTTGTTTCAATCTTACATGGGTCAATTTACAACAAGCACCAAATTAACAAATATTATTAAATCCTTTATGCTAAACCAAAGTGTCCCTGTGCCTTAAGTGTTCTGTTCAGTCCACTTCATTGTGGCTCATGTGCATGAGTCAGCAGTTCATGGCACAAGGGTCACCTTTGGACTTCCCTGCAGAGCTGATAACCCTCATCAGACAGCGACCAAACTCCTCCAGGATCATGCGCTCTGCTGCAGCTTTGGACTTGCCCGTCTTCTCCGCCTGCTCTGCCTGTGCCAGGAGGCATTCACACGTTGCATCGGCCACCTCCTTGGTGACAAAGGTAAAGGGCAGCCTGAAACAAAGAAACAGCCACTTAGTGTCTGTAAAAACACACAAGGCAGCTAACTCCAGGGCTGGACTAACTTTCTGGTCCAAGGACTGATGAGATTTCATCTGTCCCACTGTTTCCCAGAGCCTTCAGAGAGTGAATAAGCCTCAGTAACAGCCAAATGAACCGGTGGGTTAGAATCCCTACTGTTACAGGAACAAAATGTCCCATTCACCTGACTGCTCCCACCTCTACCTCTGAGCCTTATACAGACAAGGCTCAGAGATGACAGGGACATGCTTGTCACATCAAAAAGCTGTGTTAGAAACAACTCAAAGAGGGTGTGGCATTAACTTACTTCCCACCACCACTGCTGAGTGCTGGTGTTGGCCTTGTCAGCAAGTCTGAGATCTGGGAAGATAACTTGGTCTTCGCAGCAGTCTGCTGCTGGACCCTAACCTCTGCAGCATCTGCTAAATGCATCAATGTCTTTCGCTCCGGGCTTTCTTCAAAATTTTTACAGCCAATGCATTTGCATATGGAAGAACACATGATTTTTGCCTGAAAGAAACAAACAAAACATAAGAAACCTGTTGTAATTTTGCCTCTCCTTATGAGAAACCACAACAAAAAGGAGATCCTATTTTCATCTCTTACCAATTAGCCACTAGAACAGACTCCCAAGTAGTAGTCCTTTCTCTAAACTCTTGTCTTCCCAGAATGTATACTTGAATCAAATCATAGAATCATAGAGCATAGAATGTAAGTGGTTTCCCACTCATCCCTTTCTTCATCAGTCTCCAGTGGAATTTACACAGCTGAGTTTTGAGAAATGTCAGTCTATACTGTCTCTACATCCACAGACTGATCAGTTAGCAGATGAAGTAACAACTTTTGCTTCTGAATTCCACAGACACATTCTATCCCACAGCATCTATGGGATTCTGCTTCAACTCGTCCTAGGGATTTGGTGCAGTAGATTTCTTTAGGAAATGGTGCTATTCAGCAAAAAACAAATCCAAGCCTAAGTTCAAATTTGCTAAATTGTTTAAAATTAAAATAACAGAACAGTAGCAACCAACTTTTCCATGTACATACATGGCTTTCTATGTCCAAGCTTCTAGGAGAAGAGGTAACATTATAGGAATAGAAGCAAAGAGAAGAGAAAACATTATAGCCATACAACAAAGAGACAAAGCAAGTGAGAGAAGTCACTACACTAAAGGGAAAAAGGTACTAATTTTCAAATGAGATAATGCTTCGTACCTCGTAACACTCGCAGTAGTTTTTGAGGCATCCCGAGCGCTTACAGTTACACCCTTTGCTGTGCCTCCGATCCGATTCTCCTTCCTTTCCTTTCCCTATTTTGGGCTTGAAGGCTTCAGGGTTTCTGTCGAGGCAGGCCTGTCAATGCAGACCCAAAGGGTCAGTCATTGCATGCGGGGAGCAGAATTTAGAGGTGCAATAAAAGAACTTAAGCCTTGCACATGTGGGAGGAGATTGGAGCATTATACTCCCACTCCGGAGCTTCAGAAAAAAGAAGCTAAATGACTTAGATCCCAGGGGGCAGGGGAAGAGGCCCCTCACCTTTATTGCTTTTTGCCTATCGTTCTCATGGTCCAGGTTGTTATAACAATTTGTACAGTTGCAGTTATTGCAGAATTCACCGTTTGCAAAACAGTCACAATACCTGAAACAGAAGATGCAGAAGGCATTTGTAAATGTTGACCATTACATTGGTGTGTGAGTACTGACTCACACACTGCAGTAGCACAAGTTCCTACTCCAGGACCAATATGGATAATGCTCAACTCCACACGTACAAGCGGTACCAGCCTCACTGCAGAGCCAAAATCCTCTGGTGCAGGTCTAGCTGCTGTCTAAAGACACAGATGGAGTTCAAGGGTGTCCACCTGAGCTCATCACATAGCACAGGTCCCCCAAGCCGTAAGAGAAGCTAATGAAACGTTTTCTGAGGGCGACTCTTGGGTCACCCCCATATTGAGGGCCAGTCTGCTGCAGCCACCTCACAGCCAGCTCTGACCCAGACAGTCCAAGCCAGCCCTCAGGTGTCCTCATACAGCTGAAACAAAAGGCAAACAACTGGAGTGACAGTTAACAGGCAAACTAATCCAGCAAGAAGCTTTTTTTTTGTTAGTTTTGCCCTTAAGTTGGGATGGAAGAATAGAAATGTAGTAACAATTGGTACATCTTGGAGGCTTTGAAGCACTGGTAACCAGGGGAAAGTTCAGAATGAGAAAAAAGTTGACTTTAAAGAAGAACAAATATATGAACAAAAAGCAGCAAAACATGGACAGGTAAAGCCAATCATGTTGCCATGCCTCTTATGTACCTCTGGTGCCTCCCATCAAGAACAGCATCTCACCAATCCACAGACTCACAGATCTGATACATGAAAATACCACATTCATCCCCATCTCAAACATGGCTTTAGGCCACAACAAACTCTGTCTTGTTTCAAGGCTTCCAGGACCACCTCCACCTAATAGCTAAAAGCTGCTAAACCTCTTCACTTGCTTTTCAAATCCTGCTGGGGGTGTATGGTCATTTTTTGGAGCCTAAATCCATTGTTAAACTGGCTTTCTGTGGCTTTCCCAGCCTAGCAATACATAAACTAGATTAGGGTTGCCCTGGAGCCCACTGCAACCCTTCATCAGGTTGAACTGGATTTTGGAGATATTTAGCATCTTGAATTGTCCCAGGAACAAACTAAATCAAAAGCTTTTACAACCTGTAATAGCTCTGCTTTCTTTTTTAAAATTCAGTGGTAGCATTGTTCTGGTTTCAAAAAAAAAACCAGTGCCAACATCAGTGTGGAATCTAAGTGAGCAAATAACTGAGTTGACTTCTAAGTAGAACAGGCTATATGCCTGCCTTCCATGGGCATTTGGGCAAAAATAAGTTCCCCTTCAGACAGAAAAAAGGTTTTACTAGTAAGAAAGCATCTGTGCCAGAGTGCATTAACCATGTGCTCTGCACCAATGCCCAGAACACATAACATCAGTGACTTACAAGAACAGTTTGTCTCTTAACAGCATTCTGAAGGTGCGAAGTATTCCCAGTGATGCCATTACTCTCCCAGAATTTCTAGGACACATTCAGGCACCAAAACCTAAACCCCTACACATCTAACATACATTGGGCACTGTGAGATCAGTCATGTACGTAAAATATCTGAAAAACAGCTACACATCTTCCTGCTATGCAACAGACAAGTCTGAGACTAGGAAACACAGGGCACACCTTCCCATACAGAGGTGGGGTGCACTACACAAAAAGACACCCATACTTAAGAGTTTAAACACACTTCTTAACTTGGGTTCAGATGCCATTGCATCACTTCCCCCTCAAGTACCACACCCCTGATTTCCTCTTCATTGTCTAGGATTCAGGGAACCGCAGATTAATTTCAGTATCTCCTCCCGTTCCTGTCCCAAACATATCAGTAAGCTGACTGTGCCTCAAGCTGAAGAAACTCTCAGCTCCAAATGCTTTTGTGTCAAATTCTGATTAATACATGGCATGGAACATCAAAATATCTCATGGATAAGCAAGAGGCAGACCTATCAGTGAAGAACCACTTGTCTATTCAATCCTTTAACAAAAGATACACAGCCCGATTTTTCTGAAGTATTTGATTCAGCTTGGTAGTACTGATGCACTTCACCAAAGTATAGGAAATGTCCGTGAATGATACCATGAGATACCATTTCACTCATGGTACCAACAAGGCAACCAGAGCTGCTGAGTGGAATTGGCTTCACCATGAAATATGTTACATGATGCAAAATTAGATATTTTTAAATGTTATGGTCCATATAGCTCCCAGGAGTTGCAAAATTACACAGGCTCTGCAACATCTCCACCAATATCCACCTTAAATCAGCATCTAGATGTAAAATTTCTGACATACTTAAAACCATTATATTCTGATACTTGGTGCACATTTGTGTTGCCAAAAATAAGGCTTAAAAGACAAAAACTGTACCAATCTGTACTTACAATTTCAAACACAGAGACTTAGTACAATTGCAAGGCTTCCTGGGGCGGTTTGCAGACTCAGAAGAAATTATTCTGTAGGGGGAAAAAGGCATTTATATACACACAGTTTTATCAGTTTCTTCCTATTTCAAATTCATGTAAACAGCTCATAATAAAAACTTTGAAAAAAATCTTTATATTCCCCTTGCATTAGGTTTTTGGCTGACTGTGTTTAAGTAACTATTATAAATAGTGCCTTTCCGACCTAGAAAGAGATGGATTATTTGCTGCCAATTTGGATGCTTGCCTGAAGTAGAAATTAGGCTTTAAAGCTAGAGGAAGCATAACTAAAAAACTGGAGTCAGGGAAACCTTCCCCAGAATCCCTTCAAGTGCAGTGGGACCAGATCCAATCAGAATTCACACAACATGACTGTGCCTTTTCTTTTGTTCTGCTTGGAATTAAAAAAATCCCAGAAAACAAAAAATACTCCCTTGGGAAAAATTGGAAAGCAAGCCAAATCATGGTATTCAGTTTTCAGATAAATTTTATAGTAGACACAGTCTTT